AATCCATTCGAAGGATTCCTACCGTGTCCTCTCCATGAGAGAGGTCTGGATGTTGGCGAAATTTGGCGAAGAATCCGCGGCAAGTGGTTAATGTGCATCATGTTTTGACTAGGGATCACTTTAGCTACCCTCGCGCGGAACATGCGACTTCATGTACCGAAAGGGCCCCCTCATTCTCTGAGGCAAGGTCTTGATTTTGTCGCAATGGACCGTTCCTCAGCCATGCCTGCAGGAGCCCAGCAACCGCAAGGACGGGCTCGAGAGAGGGCCGCTCCCGCGGTGTTTTATCGGCCAAGGGCCGGCCACGCGTGTGGCGGCAATATGTTTGGAAGAGTAGAGATTCGAAGCCAAGGGCATGCAGGAAAGCGCAGCAAAAAACCATGGATGAAGTACGTTAACATTGCGGAAGTCTGTTCCTGAGAAGCCCTGTGTAGCCCGTTTTGTTGGGGAAGACATATTCAAGAGACGACCCCTTTGCAACATGGATCAAGTCTCCGGATTTTCCCCTGGGTAGCATCGCTGAAGTTTCACTTTCTGCCCGTCGCAGGCAGCGCGCAAGGGCACGGGATATTTGCACGAAGCAGACTTGCAGAGCATGCTGGAGGATGAGGAGGATGAGGCCGACATTGTGCTAGATGCGGCTCACCATGATGCCGTTGTTGGTTTTTTCCCGAAATCAATACGGGGTGGTTTGTCTTTGTCTTTGTCCTTGTGGGTGTGTTTGTGGGTGTGTTTGCAAGCTCGCTTGGCAGCAGCCTGTTTCAGCTTTTGGCATGTTGCGCACAAAGCAATGGTCACCAACCGTTTACAAGGGCGGGTGGAAACTGATAGCCGATCAACTGCGGCGTCGACGGCCTAGAGTGTGTCAATGTGCCTTGACAGCACACAACAATGACCCTTGCACGCGCGCACACACACACACACAAAGACAAGGAAACGCAGACACACACACACACACACACACACACGGCACGCACACACACACCGACAGACTGAGACCGACACACCGACAGACAGACGGAGACAGACAGAGACAGACAGAGACAAACAGACACACGGACACACACACACACACGGAGACTGACAGGGACAGACAGAGACAGACAGAGAGACAGACGAAGAGACAGACAGAAACAGAGACAGACACACAGACACACACACACACACAACTAAAGTCCTTTGGAAAATATGAGAACATATTTCCAATAGTGATAGATTCCTGTTAAACCAGTAGGGGGAGATAAACATAAGTTAGGGCTTGCCTCTATCACAAAATTGAGTAAATTTGAGGTAAATTGGTGGTAAAGAGTTACTGCTACAGGCAAGGCTTAAAACATAAGCAAATGCACTCTACTTCACAAACTGGAAATCCAAGAAAGGAATCCAACGGACCTTCATCAGGGCTGCTTACACGCACAGGCACTCAACTAGTCAAATCCCAGAATGTTCAGAAAGCCGAAGCACCTCCAGTGTCGATTAAGTGAACTTATTCCGTCAGCAGCGTTGTTTTGCTTTGTTTCCCGAAGTTTGGTTGCTTGTTGGGATCTTGGTTGTCTTGCTTTTTTGCAGCTGCTGAGCTGTCCAACACAAGCAAGCGAAACTGAACACAGGCCCAGGTGGATCACAACTTGCTTTTGCTTTGCCTTTGCTTAAGAGCAATGAGAAGCCAGCAATTCTGTAGATTGACTGTCATGAGCAAGATATCTAGTTTTGCTGATGGGTGATTGGATTTCTTCTCTGTTTGTTTTTGTTGCTCACAAGGTCATGTGCTTTGTTTTTGTCTCTTTGTTCTCGTGCGACAGGAGTTCACGTTAAGACATCTATGGCAACCACATATTTGCCTGCTATCCCGGTTGCATCTTTCCAGCCAAGAGTTACCCTGCCAGATTGACTACGAAGCCAATAAGGCACTCATCGCCATTTCGCCAATAATTAGTTGGCATAGGAAACTCTGCAGCAGTGCTACACTTATAACTTGTATCGTTGGTGTTGTATCTGCGTGTTTGCTAGCAACGCATGCGAAGGTAAGTATGTGTTTCCTGTCATTGTGAGAAATTGCATCTTGGCCGACAAGAGCATCAACGCCCAAAGAGGTCATGCAGTCGCTGCACAGCCATTCGTGCCTTAGTTATTAGGCTTATGTTCTTCTTAGCTGAGTATCTTGAACTCAACGAACACATCGACCGTTTCACAAATTGCAACACGTTTGGTGGCACAGGGCTCCTTAAAAGATACAGTTTGTCCATTTGAAACATGGCTTTTTCCACCAGCATAAAGGGACACCACCATTTACAAGGCAATGTTCAGGTGTATAATGTAACGCTCCCTGTGGCAGACGGGCCTTCTCCTTTGCAACTCCAATAGCTTTCCTTGGTCTTATTGTTGATAAACAAGCAACACTGTGTACCAGGGAGGGAGCAGATGGCTGTGGGTCAAAATAGGTACCCGAAATTGAACCCTGTAAGTGGCAACATGGACTGAAACCTGCGGTTTTCTAGTGGTTTAATTTTGACCCATATCGAGATGATTTGCACTCTTGGGGAAGCTCCTGGAACTTGGACACATTGGGTCTTGGCAGTCCATGTTTCGGTGCTGCTCCAGCTGTCCCAACCTGTTGCAGCAAAAAGACCGGCCGCGTTGGTTTGCAAGATATGATTGAGCTGCAAACTGGTTTTTGGCGTCGAGCCAAGTGCGCGCATGAACCGTCACGAAGCGTATGGCACGTTGCACGGAGGCGGCGACCTCCAAAAGAGTGGCCTTTGATGCCGCAGAGGCAGGAGAGGAGGTGACCTCTAGCTGCTTCGATGTGAAGAAAAGGCAATTTCAGCAGCGGCGCACATCATTTTCCATTGACAGACCACTTTAGTAGGGTGGTGGTGCCACCTGATGTAACTCGGGTCCTAGTAAGGGCTAGCTGAGCGCTGTGTCTTGTCTTGGGAATCGAACCCCCAAAATGGTGTACGTTGGAAAAAAAATCTGCCCAAAAGATCTGGTGCTCCACGCGAAACGCATGACTCAATTTGGCCTGGGCACTTATCCCGCAGGAGAGCAAAGAAGGCGCTCGAAAGTCGCAGGCGTCAAGTCGTCAGCATTTCTTCAAGTGAGTCACAATCAAAACCCGGGTAGATGAAGGCTAGCAAGGGACGATCCCAACCAGAAATAGCTGCGGCCGCCTTCTAAAATATTTACATGGTTCTGGGTAGACCAGTTTAATACCGGGTTTTGATTGTGACTCAAGTGCCCACGTAATGGCGTATGTTGACTTGGCAACTTGCGTTGTAGCGCTTGCTGCAGCTGGGCAACACTTTTCGAGAGGGCAGTGAGGTGTTTTGCGCTGACAGGCTACACAGCGCAAGGGGACTGGATTCCTCACAGCGAAGGAGTTGGCAGACTTGCCGTCAGAAGACGAGGAGGAAGACAGTCCAGACAGCCCAACTGCCAACGAAACGGAGGCTGGGGACTGCGAGATCCAAAAAGTAGTATGGAGCAACAGGAGCATGGGGCAGGCTGAAACTGAGAAGTCAGCTGGTGGTTGATATTGTTGGCTGCACAGAGAGGGTGGTCAATAGCAGGAGGCAATAACAGAAGGGCCTTGACACGTGTGACCGGTTGGAGAGAGAAAGCCAATGTGGCCGGACGGTGTTGGGATGTTTGCGTGGAAATCCTTGAAGCGTTCCGGACAATCGAGTATTGATTCGAGAGTTCAGCTGTTTTGTGAGGCTAAGAACGACCACAAAGTGTCCTTTGATCCTTCCGCGCAGGCTCGGGGGGAAAACGACGGCGGTTTACGTGATGAAGCGTGACGAAGCAAGCTGTGATTGTTTCATGCCACACAACACTGTTGCATGCATCCTACTGCAGGAGAGCAAAGACGGCGCTCACAAGTTGCAGGCGGCAATGACGTCAACATGTATTCGCACATGTACGCATGTGTTTTTGCAACATGTTTGCCTCGCAACTTTCAGCATGGTGTTTGCTGCAGCTGGGCAAGTTTGCGCTGGCAGGCTTCACAGCGCAAGGGGACTGGATTCCTCACAGCGAAGGATTTGGCAGACTTGCCATCAGACGATGAGGAGGAAGACAGTCCCGACAGCCCAACTGCCAACGAAGCAGAGGCTGGGGGCTGCAAGATCCGGGACATAGTCTGGAGCAACAGGAGCATGGGGCAGGCTGAAACTGAGAAGGCAGATGGTGGTTTATATTGTTGGCTGCACAGAACGGGTGGTCAATAGCAGGAGGCAATAGAAGGGCCTTGACGCGTGTGACCGGTTGGAGAGAGAAAGCCAAAGTGGCCGGACGGTGTTGGGATGTTTTCGTGGAAATCCTTGAAGCGTTCCGGACAATCGAGTATTGATTCGAGAGTTAGCTGTTTTGTGAGGCTAAGAACGACCACAAAGTGTCCTTTGATCCTTCCGCGCAGGCTCGGGAAACAAAAAACACGGCGGTTCGTGTGATGAAGCGTGACGAAGCAAGCTGTGTTTTTTTTCATGCGACTTGATGGTTTCGGTGTTGTCGCAATGGTGTGAGTGCTGAAGTTTCTGAGTGGTGGCAATGGCTAAAATGAACACAACCGCGCACACTTACACACACACAACACTGTTGCATGCATCCTACTGCAGGAAAGCAAAGACGGCGCTCACAAGTCGCAGGCGGCAAACACGTCAACATGTATTCCCACTTGTCATGTGCCCCGGCAACTTTCAGTATGGCGTTTGCTGCAGCGGGGCAAGTTTTGTTGAGAAGGCAGTGATGTGTTGCGCTGGCAGGCTTCACAGCGCAAGGGGACTGGATTCCTCACAGCGAAGGATTTGGCAGACTTGCCATCAGACGATGAGGAGGAAGACAGTCCGGACAGCCCAACTGCCAACGAAACGGAGGCTGGGGACTGCGAGATCCAAAAAGTAGTATGGAGCAACAGGAGCATGGGGCAGGCTGAAACTGAGAAGTCAGCTGGTGGTTGATATTGTTGGCTGCACAGAACGGGTGGTCAATAGCAGGAGGCAATAGAAGGCCCATAGCACGTGTGACCGGTTGGAGAGAGAGCGAAAGAGAGAAAGCCAAAGTGGCCGGACGGTGTTGCCGTGATGTTTGTGTGGAAATCTTTGAAGTGTTCCGGACAATCGTGGTGATTCGAGAGTTCAGCTGTTTTGTGAGGCTAAGCATGACCACAAGGTGTCCTTTGATCCTTCCGCGCAGGCTGGGGGGGGGGAATGCGAAGACGCTTCACGTGATGAAGCATGACAAAGCAAGCTGTGATTGATTCATGCAAATTGTTGATTCCGGTGTTTTGTCGCAATGGTGTCAATGCTGAAGCTTCTTCTAAATGAGGGCCAATGGCTCAAATTGCAGTCAACATGCCACACACACACACAAGCACATTACCCGTTCGCATCCCACTGCAGGAGGTCAAAGACGGCGCTCACAAGTCGCAGGCGGCAAAGACGTCAACATGTCTTCGCACAAGTGCGCATGTTAAAAAAAGAAGAGAAACAAACACATGTTTACCTGCAACTTTCAGTATGGCGTTTTCTGCAGCTGGGCAAGTTTCGCTGAGAGGGCAGTGATGTGTTGCGCTGGCAGGCTTCGCAGCGCAAGGGGACTGGATTCCTCACAGCGAAGGATTTGGCAGACTTGTCATCAGACGATGAGGAGGAAGACAGTCCGGACAGCCCAACTGCCAACGAAACGGAGGCTCGGGGCTGCGAGATCCAAAAAGTAGTATGGAGCAACAGGAGCATGGGGCAGGCTGAAACTGAGAAGTCAGCTGGTGGTTGATATTGTTGGCTGCACAGAGAGGGTGGTCAATAGCAGGAGGGCAATAGAAGGGCCTTGACGCGTGTGACCGGTTGGAGAGAGAAAGCCAAAGTGGCCGGACGGTGTTGGGATGTTTTCGTGGAAATCCTTGAAGCGTTCCGGACAATCGAGTATTGATTCGAGAGTTAGCTGTTTTGTGAGGCTAAGAACGACCACAAAGTGTCCTTTGATCCTTCCGCGCAGGCTCGGGGGGAAAACGACGGCGGTTCGTGTGATGAAGCGTGACGAAGCAAGCTGTGATTGTTTCATGCGACTTGATGGTTTCGGTGTTGTCGCAATGGTGTGAGTGCTGAAGTTTCTGAGTGGTGGCAATGGCTAAAATGAAAACAACCGCGCACACGCACACACACAACACTGTTGCATGCATCCTACTGCAGGAAAGCAAAGACGGCGCTCACAAGTCGCAGGCGGCAAACACGTCAACATGTATTCCCACTTGTCATGTGCCCCGGCAACTTTCAGTATGGCGTTTGCTGCAGCGGGGCAAGTTTTGTTGAGAGGGCAGTGATGTGTTGCGCTGGCAGGCTACACAGCGCAAGGGGACTGGATTCCTCACAGCGAAGGATTTGGCAGACTTGCCATCAGACGATGAGGAGGAAGACAGTCCGGAAAGCCCAACCGCCAACGAAGCGGAGGCTGGGGGCTGCAAGATCCGGGACGTAGTCTGGAGCAACAGGAGCATGGGGCAGGCTGAAACTGAAAAATCAGATGATGGTGTACATTCTGGGCTGCACAGAAAGGGTGGTTAATAGCAGGAGGCAATAGAAGGCCCATAGCACGTGTGACCGGTTGGAGAGAGAGCGAAAGAGAAAATGCAAAAGTGGCCGGACGGTGTTGCCGTGAAATTTGTGGGGAAATCTTTGAAGTGTTCCGGACAATCGTGGTGATTCGAGAGTTCAGCTGTTTTGTGAGGCTAAGCATGACCACAAGGTGTCCTTTGATCCTTCCGCGCAGGCTGGGGGGGGAATGCGAAGACGCTTCACGTGATGAAGCATGACAAAGCAAGCTGTGATTGATTCATGCAAGTTGTTGATTCCGGTGTTTTGTCGCAATGGTGTCAATGCTGAAGCTTCTTCTAAATGAGGGCCAATGGCTCAAATTGCAGTCAACATGCCACACACACACACACAAGCACATTACCCGTTCGCATCCCACTGCAGGAGGTCAAAGACGGCGCTCACAAGTCGCAGGCGGCAAAGACGTCAACATGTCTTCGCACAAGTGCGCATGTTAAAAAAAGAAGAGAAACAAACACATGTTTACCTGCAACTTTCAGTATGGCGTTTTCTGCAGCTGGGCAAGTTTCGCTGAGAGGGCAGTGATGTGTTGCGCTGGCAGGCTTCACAGCGCAAGGGGACTGGATTCCTCACAGCGAAGGATTTGGCAGACTTGCCATCAGACGATGAGGAGGAAGCCAGTCCGGACAGCCCAACTGCCAACGAAACGGAGGCTCGGGGCTGCGAGATCCAAAAAGTAGTATGGAGCAACAGGAGCATGGGGCAGGCTGAAACTGAGAAGTCAGCTGGTGGTTGATATTGTTGGCTGCACAGAGAGGGTGGTCAATAGCAGGAGGGCAATAGAAGGGCCTTGACACGTGGCACCGGTTGGAGAGAGAAGCCAAAGTGGCCGGACGGTGTTGGGATGTTTTCGTGGAAATCCTTGAAGCGTTCCGGACAATCGAGTATTGATTCGAGAGTTCAACTGTTTTGTGAGGCTAAGAACGACCACAAAGTGTCCTTTGATCCTTCCGCGCAGGCTCGGGGGGAAAATGATGGCGGTTTACGTGATGAAGCGTGACGAAGCAAGCTGTGATTGTTTCATGCGACTTGATGGTTTCGGTGTTGTCGCAATGGTGTGAGTGCTGAGGTTTCTGAATGGTGGCAAATGGCTCAAATGGAAGCAACAGCGCACACGCACACACACACAACACTGTTGCATGCATCCTACTGCAGGAAAGCAAAGACGGCGCTCACAAGTCGCAGGCGGCAAACACGTCAACATGTATTCCCACTTGTCATGTGCCCCGGCAACTTTCAGTATGGCGTTCGCTGCGGGGCAAGTTTTGTTGAGAGGGCAGTGATGTGTTGCGCTGGCAGGCTACACAGCGCAAGGGGACTGGATTCCTCACAGCGAAGGATTTGGCAGACTTGCCGTCAGATGAGGAGGAGGAAGACAGTCCAGACAGCCCAACCGCCAACGAAACGGAGGCTCGGGGCTGCAAGATCCGGGACATAGTCTGGAGCAACAGGAGTACGGGGCAGGCTGAAACTGAGAAGTCATGGCACGTGTGACCGGTTGGAGAGAGAGAGAGCGAAAGAGAGAAAGCCAAAGTGGCCGGACGGTGTTGCCGTGATGTTTGTGTGGAAATCTTTGAAGCGTTCCGGACAATCGTGGTGATTCGAGAGTTCAGCTGTTTTGTGAGGCTAAGAACGACCACAAGGTGTCCTTTGATCCTTCCGCGCAGGCTGGGGGGGAATGCGAAGACGCTTCACGTGATGAAACATGACAAAGCAAGCTGTGATTGATTCATGCAAATTGTTGATTCGGGTGTTTTGTCGCAATGGTGTCAATGCTGAAGCTTCTTCTAAATGAGGGCCAATGGCTCAATTTGCAGTCAACATGCCACACACACAAGCACATTACCCGTTCGCATCCCACTGCAGGAGGTCAAAGACGGCGCTCACAAGTCGCAGGCGGCAAAGACGTCAACATGTCTTCGCACAAGTGCGCATGTGATAAAAACAATGTTTGCCTGCAACTTTCAGTATGGTGTTTTCTGCAGCTGGTCAATTTTTGTTGAGAGGGCAGTGATGTGTTGCGCTGGCAGGCTTCACAGCGCAAGGGGACTGGATTCCTCACAGCGAAGGATTTGGCAGACTTGCCATCAGACGATGAGGAGGAAGACAGTCCGGACAGCCCAACTGCCAACGAAACGGAGGCTGGGGACTGCGAGATCCAACAAGTAGTATGGAGCAACAGGAGCATGGGGCAGGCTGAAACTGAGAAGTCAGCTGGTGGTTGATATTGTTGGCTGCACAGAACGGGTGGTCAATAGCAGGAGGCAATAGAAGGCCCATAGCACGTGTGACCGATTGGAGAGAGAGCGAAAGAGAGAAAGCCAAAGTGGCCGGACGGTGTTGCCGTGATGTTTGTGTGTGAAAATCCTTGAAGCGTTCTTGGCAATCGTGGCGATTCGAGAGTTCAGCTGTTTTGTGAGGCTAAGCATGACCACAAGGTGTCCTTTGATCCTTCCGCGCAGGCTGGGGGGGAATGCGAAGACGCTTCACGTGATGAAACATGACAAAGCAAGCTGTGATTGATTCATGCAAATTGTTGATTCGGGTGTTTTGTCGCAATGGTGTCAATGCTGAAGTTTCTTCTAAATGAGGGCCAATGGCTCAACTGGAAGCAAACGCGCGCTCATCCCACTGCAGGAGAGCTCAGACGGCGCTCGCAAGTCGCAGGCGGCAACGCCTCATCATGTCTTTGCACAAGTGCGCATGTGATTGTGTAACATGTTTACTTGGCAACTTTTTGTATGCCGTTTGCGGTAGCTGGGTAAGTTTTGTTGAGAGGGCAGTGATGTGTCGAGCTGGCAGGCTTCACAGCGCAAGGGGACTGGATTCCTCACAGCGAAGGATTTGGCAGACTTGCCATCAGACGATGAGGAGGCAGACAGTCCAGACAGCCCAGCCGCCAACGAAACGGAGGCTAGGGGCTGTATTAGTGTTGTTCAGTTTTTCGCGCTGCGGCAAAGTCGTGCTGGAAGTTGCGGTATCGTCATTGAATCGTGCTTTCTAAGTGGGGCTATTGCTATTGCCACTCTCTCGGCTGGAGCGCATTTTGTCCTGCGTTCAATGCCTTTTGTTTTCTTCGGCAAACTTTGGAGTGCCTTTTGGTCTAGGTCCCCCAGTAGTGCCCTTTTACCAACTTTTTTGGGGGAGCGTTCCCCTACTAACATAGACTACAGAAAAAAGTTTCTACCCTTATGCGAACCTCTCTACTGGAGGACCTAGTTGTGTTTGCTTTTTGTCGCAGGCCTGTTCTGGGCCTTGGTTTGCGGAGTTGTCATGTGTAACGGGTTGCCCGTTTCCCAAGTCTGTGGGTCTCTCAACGGGGGCTTGTCCAAATGGACCCTTTTCGTATCCCTCCTAACAAACCGCCACAAGGCGACGCCTTTCATGTCACAATGTGGGCTATTCTTTTGACTCCGAACGCGTGACTTGATTGGGCCGTACTCCAGGCAACTCAGAAGGTGTCTTTTGAGACGGAGGAAGAGGAGGAGCTGCCACGTCATAGCAGAGGTCCAGCAAACAAGGCCGGCACGATGCTGGCGGCTAGAGGGGTTGTGTAGCGCGAGTGGATTGTCGCGCTCGGAGGCGTGCGCTTGAAACAAGAAGCACTTATAGTAGAGGAGACATTGTCATGCCTCACATTCTGCGGGATATCCTTTGCACAAGCCAGGTGGTTTTCAAGATGACACCAAGGCTTCGCCCTAGAACGCGTTGCTTTGTTTGTTTGGCCATGATTCAGACTAGTTGCATTCTGTGCAGCAATTCCAGGACCAGAGCTGTCCACTTGTAGTTGTTTCTAAGAATGAGCTGTCCTGCAACCATGCCCGTCGTTGTGACCACTTTCGTGTTTGTGCCCATTCTTGCTGCACGTGCATGTGCATGTTTGAGAGAGTGTACGTGTGTGCGCATGCATACAAGGTTGTGGGTGCAGTAAACCATGTTGTCCATTGAGCAGCTTGAACAATCAATAGAGGTTCAACCAAGCAGAGGTTGAGCTAAGGTCAGCTTGCCGTCTCTCGCTCTTTTGCACCAGTTTTGCTCATAACGCTCAGTGCTTTGACTCAGGCGACAGCCCGGAAGGGCACCGGATTCCTTCGAGCAGATGAGGTGCCAGAGGCCGAAAAGAAGCACAGACTCTGCAGGTTTGGTCAACAAATCCAGTCAACATGGAAATTCTTAGTGGTTTCAAGCATCCGGTTCCTTAGGTGTTTTAAGGTTTTAGGGTTTTTAGGTTTTTTTTTTTTTTTTTTTGTTTCGGCGGCTTTCATTTCACCCACTAGAAGTTGGACATTTCGCAGGGGATCTGAGGGCATGAACATGAACTCACAAAATGTCCCGCAAAAAAAGGCACTCGCAAACCGGAGATGTCAATGTCTGTACGGCATTCTGAAGGCTCAGGGAAACCAAGCGAGCCATTTCTTCGGAGCGGTCCTCAGATCTGAGACCTAGCGGTTTCAGTGACATATTCTCGAACCCAACTAGTCAGGGTTCCTCAAATGATCCATGGTGGCCTGAGTATGTCTTTTGTTTGAGGGAACCCTTGGCGGGATTTAAAGGGAAACCAAAAGGAAAACCACTCAAAGTCTCCTAGAAAAAGACACGCCCAATATATCCCCTTCGATGGTGCCCGCTAAACATGAAAGGCGCACACGGGGCTTTCTTTGATGGCTATCGGTTAATTGAGATGCGGCTCGACCGTTGGCCCATGGATTTGCTCACGCGACTTGGTTCAACCTCCGGTTCCTCAGATTTAGGTTTTTAGGGTTGAGTGGTTGGGTTTCCGAATTTCACCCACTAAAGGTGCAAGCTTCAGCAGCGGATCTGAGGTGAAAAACCTGCTTCGAAGGGCTTTTCTTTTGACCTCTTTTTGTTGGGCTTTGTGGGGCTTGTCTCTTCTTCCAAACGGACATTCGCTATGCGCAGGCTGAGGAAGATCACAACTACGACGACGACTTTGAGGCCTTGGTTGCCTTATCTGTGTTGCGTGACAATCAGGTGAGCCACAATCAAAACCGATTCGGGTAGATGAAGCTTAGTAACGGACAATCCCCTTGCCATAAATAGCTGCGGCCGCCTTCTTAATTCTTTACATGGCTCTGGGTAGACCATTTTAATACCGGGTTTTGATTCTGACGCAGGTTTCGACGGACCCCTGTTATGGTTCGTGTGTCCCCTGTGTTTGGTTGGGCCTTTTGTGTTTTGTTTTGTTTGTTTCTTTTGTTCTTTCGTTCTTTCTTTCTTTCTTTCTTTCCTTCTTTCTTTCATTCTTTCTTTCTTTCTTTCTTTCTTTCTTTCTTTCTTTCTTTCGTTAGAAAGGCGAAGCGATCGTTTGTTAAATGAAAGGAACGCACTTCTAAGGATACCTCATTCTTTCTAGGGATCCTTCTTTCTAGAAATCCTCCAGAATCCCAGGGAAAACGGCCGGTTTTTGAACAGTACGATGGTTGAGGAGGAGTTCGAAGATGACTTCGAGGAGGACTCGGAAGGCGCCGCGGTGAAAGCTGAGGAGTTGGTTCCAGGCCTTTGGTGCAACATATTTAATGAATATAGTAAAATTATTGAAGTAAAATATAATTAAATTGATATATTACTATATTTATTCTATAAAACGAAATTGTGAAATTTGCTTGTCGCACTTTTGTGCGTTTTGTTGGATTGTTTTGTGTTAATTCGGCCTAAACGAGGGGGACCACAGTCTTAAAGCGTTGAAAAGGGAGATGTGAATAGGAAAGAGCCGAACAGCCTGTAGACTGAAACCGCTCTTGGGTTGGATCCTTAGACTCTAACTTGTTGGATTCCCTTCACTTGGTGGCTCCCAGCCATCCCCTTAGCTTTTTAGCCTTTTAGCGTTTGGTGGTAGTTTCCATTTAACCCACTAGAAGTTAAACTTTTAGCGGGCGATCTGAGGGCAACCCAGTTCATATTTCCTTTTAAACAGCAAACAGTTAAACTTTTTGCTGGGGGATTTACAGCACCCAAGTAGAACTGTTATTGCCCTGGACGACTTTCTCTGAGCTGGGTGACGCTGCAGAACAATCAAAGCAGTCGTTTAAGACGGTTCTATGCTTTTGAATCCCATGTCTGAGAAAACTCAGGTGACGTCCAAAAGTGGTGATACCTTTGTACGTGGAGTCTCTCTATGTTCCATACTCGCGCCTCAATTTTGTGTGTGAAAAGCGGTGGGCGACATACCCTTCCCACTTAACACAGCATCTCATAAGTTGTTGTATTTTCTGTTTAAGGTTTAATTGGGAAAAAAAGAAAGAAAACAATGTATTTTCTCTTTAAGGGGAAATTGACAACAAATTTAAAGCAAACTCAAAAACACGGTACCTAGCTACCCTCCCACTGTTCTTCCAGGCTTCCTCCCACGGTTTCTGTCCAGCGACTCGCTGACATGAGCCCATGGCCACGGCCTCTTCACGTGGAACCCGAGGAACCGTTCGTTGGACCCGTTCGAAACGCAGAACGGTCCTCCGGGAATCCGACGTGGCTCAAAATTAAACAGGAGGGGTTACGCAGGTGTTGGTCCATGTTTCCACTTACCAGGGCAAGCCATTTTGGCACCGGTTTTTTGAGCCACAGCCTGAAGCCTCCCTGGGACCCGTTTCAACGTCAGGTGAGCCATGTCCTCAAAACCCGGGTAGATGAAGGTTAGTAAGGGGCAGTCGCCAGAAATAGTTGTGGATATCCGCCTGCTTAATTCTTGAAGCATGGTTCTGAAGTTCTGGGTAGACCATTTTATTACCGAACTTTGATTGTGACTCAGGTTCCATTTTAAGTGGTGGGAGGCCATGTGTTGTTTTGGTTTCAAGAGATTCCCTATGTGTGCCATGGTCAAAATAGCCCTTCAAGCTTGGAACTCCGTTTTTTTTGACCCCCCCATTTTTATACAGGGTTTCCATGACTCAGAAGCCAAGAAGTATTCACCAATGCGTAGCCATTCGATTGAATTTCTAGGCACCCAAAGTTGTCCAATCCAAGTCCCTCACTCCCCACGATTCGGTGTCCCTTTAAGACCTCAAGCAAAAAGCACAGGCCAGCGTGCTTTTCATTTTTTGCAAAGGTGGAAGCCCATGAAGGACGCGGATTCGATGTGCTCCGGCAAAAAAGGGACCAGGAGGGACGAGGTTCGGGGGAACTGACTTAACTTTCAACACATGGGGGGTTGTCACAAATGAACATCCTTTTGGGCCATGGTTTATGTGGGTCCAAATGAGGGTCCATATTTTTTGACAACCCACTACATAGACCAGGGATTCAAGAGCCCGAGCTTTTCCCAACCTTCCGTTTGCTGTCTGAAGTTTATGTTCCCTTGTTGGTTGAAAAGGGACTGTGTGTTGTATGTTTTCTCCAGGGGGCGAAAAATGGAAGTAACATTTACTTTGCACAAAGTCCAATCTCGAGAAGCATCCAGAATTGTGAGGATGACAACTCCACGTAATAAGGCAACCTGAATTTGACCATGGCACATCATTGTTTGGAAGGGACTAGCAGAAATGGCGCCAAGCACCAATTAAGGGAAGCTGATCTTTGCCAGTTCTTCTTTTGCAGGGCCTCAATCCAGGACAGAGACAAATCCTACCAGTGATTTATTCCAAAATCCCTCATTGGAAGTTTGAGGCGCCCACTTACCCGCACTTCCAACCCACCCGCCACTCACGATTGAACATGTGCCATGGCCCGTAGCGTTTGATCATGATGTGGGTGGATGAATGATGGCGACATCACTGGGAGTGCAATCCCATCACGAAGCTCCCCTCAGTGCTTCAACTGATATTATCTTGGTTCATCATCGTGGTTGAGCCAGGTATTTGCTTAATGTCAAGGTTCTCAAAGGGTTGGGTTGCAGGAAATGCCACAGGAAAACAGCTCATTTAGATTTTGGGGTGTTTGGGGGCCATTTCCTGTGAGTTAAACCTTTGAGGTGCCCAACTTCCGCATTCTGAGCCTCGCAACACGCATGGCTCGGTCACGAGAGGTTTCGATTGTCGGCCCTCTCCTGGAGGCATCCCGGAGGGGCACCCAATCATTTCCGGTTGCAAGAAGGGATGCTTACAGCTACTAACTGTAGCTCTGCTCTGATTTTTGGAGTACTTTGTTTCACCTACTTTGCTTTTCCAAAGAATGGGACTACTTGCAAGAAGCCCGCTGCTTCTAAAGATCACCAGCAAAAAATACCTAGAACACGCACGCACACAGATTGATCCCTGATGCTTTGCCGGCAGGACGGGGCACGTCATCAGGCGCAGGTCAATGGCTCTCGGCCGAGGTGACAGCTTGACAGGCCCTTCATGCAGAGAGGGCTCCAACTAGATATAGTTGTTGTTTGGTGGTTGTCAAGCCTGAATTTGTCCGCGAAGCACGTGAATCGAGTAGTTCTGTTTTACAGAACGGCTCAGTTTTTCGACCAGTCAGATGATATGCGCATGAGAAAGCAGCTGTTACAACCGTTTTGCTTTTGTTGCAAGCTAATTAACGGTCCGCAGGTACGTCTCACCCAAGGCGTCTTAAAGGCGCGCCCGGCCGGAAGCAGCAGAGCTGCTAGTGGCCACTTGACAAGTAAGCGGGTCCTGACCTGTTTGGATGCCGGCACAAGGTGTGACAAGAGGAAGGGTCTCCAAGACGCAGCTCAGACCTCCCCCCCAAAATATTCTTGAGTTGCACAGGTGCTTGGCGAGCACAAAGAACAGATTTGCTTGAGCTGCGAACCACAAGCTGTCATAGACACCCTCAGACAGTCAGTCCAGTCAGTCAGTATGAAGTTTCATAGGTGAAGGCATGTGGGACAATTCAAGCACATTGTGGATGATCAACTGCTTTTGTTGTCATCCATTTGCTTAAGAACTCTATGTTTTTCCCTTGCTGGTTTTAAAGGGAATCTATCACTACTGAAAATATTAGGTTTTTTGCAGTTCTCCAGGGGGGGCGTAAGCAAATCGAAGTTGTTGCTTGCGTGTCAGTATCTCCCGAGTCTCCTTGCAGTGCTCGCCAAGTGCTCCGAAGAGCGGAGCAAACCACCTGGTTGGCGCATAGAGCAAGCCGGTCTTTGCGGTCCAACGCCATCGGAGAAAAGAGGCTGGTTCTTCGTGTTTGGGTTGCTGCAGCCAAAAGCGCCGCCGCATTTGTTCGGGATGTTGACTACAAACAAACTGCACCTGACTGCTGACACAGTTCAAACCATGGCAAGGAAGTTGACTCAGCATCCCGGTGGCCCAGCTTGCATCTACCAAGCTTTCCTTCTTGAATAAACTCGTCATGACTCTCGCATCATTTGAGGGCCCGTGTCGAGCATGGATGAGGACCAGTTGTCTCAGTATACTCAACATGAGAACGCTGTAAAAGGTGTATGGTGCCGACCGTGCAGACGCGCCCCGTAGATGCATGAAACACATCAAACCATTCCAGCAGCGGTGTCGCGATTCGAGGGGGCGGTGCCATTTGTGGATAAACTCAGGAAAAGTTGAGGCTACGCCGTCACAATGTTTTGTGATTAACTTCTGCAAATCCACGAGGGGCGTTTGTTTCAAGCGGCTCAAGCAGGTGGATTCCTCACGTGACATGCTTAATCATGTCGAGGCAAGTTCAAGTGATGTCACTTGCGGGCGACTTGCAGAACATCCATTTGTTTTTTGCTCACGCGTAGCTTGAGGGTTGTAGTTCAGCATGAACTTGGCACGTGTTGTACTTCCTTTGCTAGAGCTGCTTAGCTTGTGTGTCTTTTTTTCTCATCACAACGAGGAGCGGCCGGTGTCTGTTTGCCCAGCTTGCCTACAGTAGCCTACTCGCTGCAAACTGCGTCGCTTCATGCCACAAGCTCGGCCAAGTCACTCAAGTTTATGCTGTCGACGCTGTCAGCCAACAGCCTTGAGTTGTGTACTGTCGATCGGCGGCAAATAGCTTGAATGCCCTCTCCGCACGACCGAGGTGGAGGGCGCGGCTTTGGAGATTGTTTTCTAGGTCTCGCGATTCTCACATGAAAACATGGGATCCGAGAAATCACAATTTTCCTGAGTTTTCTTGAAACCAAAAGGGACCCGAGTGCTAGGTATCTCGTAAAGAGATCCAACAAATCACCACTTTCCTGAGCTTCCGAACCAGACGCTTCTGAGCGAAGCTCTTGACCACCCAAACCTTGGAGTCAAAACCGAAATGACGATGGATTTCAGTTTGGAATAGTGCACGTAGGTCCCCATGTATCAAATTGACATCCTCCCAAATCTTCCATTTCCACTAGACGTTTGTGTCAGAATAGTTTAAGGAGAGTCCACATCTAAGCCACAATCGGTTTGGCTCGGATGCCAGGAAGCGAGGTGGAGAATCCCGCCGCCAGCTGAGAGCTTGCCATCAAATCACCTGCGCCATTCTTCGTGAGATTCCTTTTGGGTGGGGTGGCGTTCACTGAAAAAATGTAGAGATTCTTGTCTTGTGCGCCCCTCGTGAAAAAGTCTCCGGTTTTGGTTTGCCTTCTCAAGGAGGGGAGTGGGGTTCAATAGGTTCCTGTTGAACTTGAGCAAAGAAGCCCAATGACGGTGCCACTTTAATGGAATCTGATAGCGGGTTGTGGTTGTATTTCCACCTCAGGTCAGACAAGATGGATCAGACTGGACCTTCGCTTCAACCCCCGCCGCCCCTCAAAAATGGCGGGATTTGTTGCTTTGGACAGACCTCTTGTGCAAAACGCATGGACTGCTTCAGGTCGCTTGACTGATGAAGTTCGTTGACATCAATGGGTTGCGATTATGACGTCCCCGATGGAGAGATGTGGGTACTCCTGCCAGCGCTAATTCCTTTTTTTTTTGTTTTTTTCTCAACTGAACCCCAGCTCTTTCGTGACACCCTTTCCATTTTATTTGCGTTCTGGCGTAGACAATTATTGTTCTGTGTTTTGAGAAGATTCAGGTGTCTATAGTGCTTGGCGCGCAGTTACCGGGTTACACCCAATATTTATGCGCCCAAATCCCATTGCCTTTTGGCATCTTTTGGCTCTGATGTTGACCCAATACGAGTCAACCCCAGTTTGCAAATAGTGGTGTTCCCCTTAAACAGTGATGATTCCCCACTAAACCCAGACACACACACACACATATTGATAGACTGGGGTTGATTCATCGATTCATCTGGGGTCTACATTACGAAGATGGTCGAGACCCAGAACCATGCGGCCGCACCTACTTATGGTTGGGAGTGTCCCGACCGATCTTCAGCTGGCACATGAGAAAATGAGCAGTACGCAACACTGAGAACCATTCATTTGGGCTCAGTACCAGATGTTGATTCTGATTCACTTGCATCCCAGGCATGGGCCGCCGTCAGTGCTCCCAGCGAGGCGGGAAGTCTTGGGAGTTGGCGGAGGCGGTCCCGAGCAAGAGTTGTTCAGCTCCATGTCCCCGACGGCTCGGTTTACACAGCCATTTGAGCAGCCAAAACCCCTATTGGCAAGTTTACTTCACTGTTGTTGGAAAATTGTTCTCTTTTTTGGTTGTGTTCATTTTTTGAAGGGGGCTGCAAAAAGAAAAGTTTCGCGCTACACTACCAAGGCTTGTAACGTTTTGGAAGTGGAAATGTGAAAATGGCGAGCTTCGGGCCAGATGGTTTGAGATGCCATAGCTCCTGTTGTGTATTTGTTGTTTGTGTGTTCGAACACTGAATTGAGCCGACATGCGACCATTTCATCAATATGTATTTGCATATATTACATGGTTGCTGTTGGGAAGCATTTTGCAGTTTTGCTTGTTGTGGTTTAGTGGTTGAACCCCCCACTTAGCTGCTAAAATCGAAAGCTGTGTGCTCCCCTTCCAACGTCAACCAAGATTATGTCTATATGAACCAGCGGTGAACTTCAGTGGTGGCACTTTCGGGTCTTACGCATGGGACGTTTCACATACATTTTTCCCCATGAGCACAGCCGCTTCAGAGATGAAGCAAGGCTTGCGCCTGGAGAATGTCCACAATGCATCCATGTGCTGAAACAAACATGTTTCATTTCCTCACTTCCTGAGTTCATGAACTTTAAACTTTTTGGGAAGACCATTTTGGTGGTAAATTTAAAGTTTAGACTTTTTTTGGGCCATCCACTCAGGCAGTGAGTTTCCCCTTGCTGGTTTTGAAGGGGATCGATTTCAGTACTGGATTTTTTTTCCAGGCGGCGCAAAAGCAAATGGAATAATTGAGTATGTTGTGTGACAAGTGTTTTGATTGCTTAGCCCGTTACGCCATCATCAATCACATTAGTGACTACATGAGTGTTTCCCGTTGTTCTGCTCATGAGCAAATGATACTCGACTGTTTGCTTGACAGACTGTGAGACAAAACAGCGTTGTCAGATCTTTGTTGTAAATCCATAGCCCAGGCCCCCGACAGAGACCCTCTAAAATTAAAGGTTTGCGTATGGTTCTTCTGCTCAAGCGGTTATTTTGGGAGCCGGTTTCTTTTGTGGGCAATTGAATGGGGCCGGGATTTTCCAGTCTGGGGCCGTTTCGAAACAGTCATGTTGTCATGCTGTGAAACATACTTCGTGCAGGAAAATCAGGTTATGCCAGGAAGTCACCCCGGAGCTACAAAAAAGAAGTGGCTGGCTGAAGGTAAAGGACAGTTCTTGACACGAACAGATGCCGCCACCCTTTGGATTGTTTACAGTAATTTAACTATGGGGGTGTCTTTTTTAGGGGAGCCCCAACAATGATGAGTTTCCTGTTGGTTTCTTTTTAAATCCACCAAAACATGTACATTTTCCCAATTGACAACATAGATTCATTTGAGAAGGCCCCGACTTGGTCTGGTTTTGACGTGTGTCAACGCAGTGGCCGTGGCAAAGAGGGCATCCCCCAAACCACCGATTCGGTGGGAAAAGCTTCCGGTTCATTGGCCTTGAGTCCAGCAGCTTGGCGACCACTCGCTGGCAGATTGGATTTTGACAGCTGGCCGATTTCTGGGCAAATCAAGCACCTCCCAAATGGAGTGCTTTGCACCGAAGGTTCCTTCCATGATTCCGATTCTGGATGCAATATGGTTCAGATAATAAAGCTGAGCACGCATGCGTCACACCACTCTCCTGGAATCAAATCTGCCGAGGCTCAGGACATCAATCAAGGTGCTGCTCTCAGGATCTGACGGGGTTTTCCTTTCGATTTTCCTTTTAAATTCACAAAAAAGGGGACCGGCTCAAAAAAAAGCACCCAAAAGGGAACTTGGACTGATGCAGGTGTTCCCGTGCATCATCGAATTGTTCGGTGCCTTGGAAGCTGCTGCTTACTTTCGACAAAGCCATCCCGTGCGGCGGTA